CATCTCTCGGTTGTTAATAGCCTTTTAAATTCACTCTTTAATTCGCCTGGGGTTATGATGTGATCCCTTCTGTCCCCATGCGCGGCTGAATAAAAGCTTTACACATCATCGTGTGGTGGGGAGGGTGGATTCATCCAGCGCAGCTGTGAACTCTCTCACATTCTCTGAACCCATCTTATCCCAATGGGCAGACAGGCTGCATCTTGCGTCTACAGCTAAAATTTAGAGCCCTGTTTTCATTGGGCGCCTATTGAACCAATCTTTGCTAAAATAGGTACTAAACACAAACAAGTTATCTCCGTAGTTTTTTTGTTCACAGATCAGTGGACGACGCGTCGGCTGGTTCTCTATTAGACTTGAAATGAAGTTGTTAATCAGTCGTGTGTGTGGTCTAGAACAACAGATATGAGCGAGCATGCTTCGTCGTTTTACAATTGCCTCGGAGCCTGTTCACCGTTGCTGCGATCCAGCATGCCTGGCTGATTCGGCGCGGTTACAACGCGTGGTCGTGGGCTGTTCAGTACCACTGGTTTCGGCCCACGTCGGCCCGTGACCCCACTGTATGGAATCCCATTAATGTGATTTTTTTTCGCTAGCATGTAGGTGGCGCTTTTTTGAAGGTAGCCGCAGACTTGATGACCTAATTCTATCTTGTAAACGATTTATGAAATTTCGAGCAATTTCTTACGGTACGTTGTGGAAAAGGCTCAAGTCTCTTGAGATATGCATATAATTTATGGAGTCTTTTTGGTAGTCGTTGCGGTAGAACTAGTTTTGCGTGACATACGATGAACACAACTTCATCAGACTACACATTAACGAACCCTTCTTCGCGCTGGCAACAGGACAGTGTCCTTTCGTGACTTCATGCATGAAGGTCTTCGGTGCCTCTCCGACCAACTTGACTGCGGAGTGCTTTCCATTTCCCTGAAAATCATCAATTAATTTTGCTCTGTTTATGGTAATTTTTTGCTTATGTGATACAGATAAAACTATAAAAGGCGAGGGAGAAAGGAGTACCCAGTTACTTGGATTGCATAGGTCTGGCCGGCATTTGCCCTTGAAATCATTAGAACACAAAAGTTGCAGACGGAACAGTGCTGTCGACAGTTGATACGGTGTGGTTATTTCCCCTTTCCAAACTAAACGACCTTCGCTAGTACTGTACGTGATGCCACTTTCCATTCCATGACTCATATAACAGTTCCTGAACGGTCGATTCGATTTCATGAATTAGTTTGTCGTGGAACTTTCCCCCACTTCACGTTCAATGATTTTCTGAAATTTGCATATGATTTAACTCTTCACTTTGACATAAATGTCACAAGATGAGCTGGTATGTCATTATTTTGGAGCAGGTTACAACCATCCTGAAATTTGTGGCATTCTGGAGATTCGATGCGTGTGCATTGTGTGCATTGTAGGTATTGAATCAAATTGCACTCAGATTAAACTCAGCTTAAACCTTTTTATTCCTCGGTCCTCGAGCTTTTAGGCAAAAAACATTTGGAGTGGAAGGCGACAAAACATATAAAAATATCAATTGCCAAATTTAAGAACGGAGGATGAAAAAAGAAAATTCTTCACCTGTGTGTAAATTCCCTATACCGAGGGGTGAATTTACCCACGCTTTGGATTTAGCCCGCTGCCGTCTCGGCCACGGTACCCGGCTGTTGATTTGAATAGGAGCCGTGCGTCCATGTGTTTATGTATCTGTGGTACTCACCCATTGATATCCATTATAGCCCGGATGGGACATTGCGTCAAAAACGCGTCCCGCGTATGCGTATTTTCAGGAGGGTAAATAACAAGCGTTGCGAATTTCTTGGCATGTACTTTCAAATGGAGTTTTTCAAAAACTGCTGCAATCGTCCAATTCGGAAGAAAACTGCACTTGAATTTGGAAAGAATAATGGTTGAGGTGTTCGCAGCAGTGAATTACCGGAGATCAACGTCAAGTTTGAAGGAAAGAACAAAAGGAAATGTGAGTCGCACTTTTTTAGTTTCAGAAATTTTCTCAAATTGAGTTGTATGGAAAAAGAGAGTTGTTGACCACCTCCCCTTTCACCCCCTTTCACCCACCAGCGCCGGGGATTCCCACTTTACTCACCATGACCTTTCGACCCCGGTGAACTTTTCTGTAAACAACTCGTGACGTGCACCGTCTAGCACCGATCGCACAAACAACCTACCCCGTAACTCTCAAACAAAAAAGGGAATTCCCCTCGCTACAAGGCTCGACTTGCCCGGTTACGTTTTAAAAAGCTTTCTCGGGCGGTAATTGTGTATTCTCAGGTACGACAAAACTCCTATTTGGCCTGTTTAATAAATAAAAGTGGGACTCGTTTATACCTTTTACCCCGGCCTCGTTTAAATTGACTGGTGCGCTTCTCCACTTGATAAACGTCCACGGGCCAGACCGGATCGGTTGCCCTTCTGACGGTGCCGCCCTCTTGCTCACCCGGGTAATATAAATACCGAACGACCACGTCTGGAGGTAATTCACGCGACGCACTTTTAGCAGGTACACTAGGTAGATATATAGTAAAGATAGCGGTAACACCATGTATTTATCTCTTCTTTGAGTATCCCCGGTTCTTCTCAGAACCACACATACTCAAAGAAGAGATAAATACATGGTGTTACCGCTATCTTTACTATATATCTAGTTTCTTTCACCATGAAAACCTTTAAGTCTTATAGGTACACTGGGTGCTTGTTTCACTCGGTCTAACTTGACGGCTTCTGCAGGAACAGCATCAGTAAAACGCGTTTTTCCTCGTTCAACGATTTCACGACCTGGGGCAAACGTTCTACCCATTCTACGTTTCGCTCACCCACGTTTAACATTTCTTGAGCGTATTGATGGCCGAATAAATGCTCGGCTAATGTGCGGTTAAACCTTTCCACGATCCCCTGCGACCTATGAACACTTGAATTTCTACTTTGTTTTCTTTTGTCAATAATTTTTCAAACTCGCCTTTAAATTCAGATCCCAAGTCTACCATTATGAATTTGGGCCAAGTCAGAGGCGATCGCTCGTAAATTTGTTTGCTCGCTACGCTCACTTGCTCGGCGGTTTTACTGGTCAAGGGTTCTGCTTCTTTATACCGCGAACC